ATATATGATAGCCATACAATTGGGCTTACGGACCCTGTGGTTGTCAAAGGCTGGTTTACTCTGACAAGTCCCTACAGCCCCTGATGGTCTGATGGTGGGTAGAGCCGCCTGGGACCAGGAACATAGGCTGCAAGACAAGAGACCTTGAGGACGCTCAGAGAGGAGCGGGTTTCCTATAGACCCCAAATCCCAGATCCACCTGCCTCAGCTCCAAGTAAGAGCAGCTCTCTTCTCAGGTTGTACATCTTTACGGGCGAGGCTGGCCTGGTCTTTCTTCTGGGTTTTGAACTCTGACCTTGCAGTCAGCAGTCTGACACTTATCCCCAAAGGCCACCAGGGCTCCCTAAAGAGAGGCTGGGGGGGTTGTGTCCTTGTTTGGGAATGGGCTAGTGGGCGCACACACATGGCGGGGGGCACTGTGGTTGGTGATGATGTCCAAGGATGCCGGGCTGAGGTGGCTAGAATCCACATGTACCACACCTGTAACAGAGTATTAGCTGCCTGACTTTGGGCCAAGGAAGGGCCAAGCAGGCTGGCTGAGCTCCTTAGACAAGCCAGACCCAGCCACGCGGAGAGCCACAGCAGCCAAAGGTAAGCGTGGTTGCCGCCGAATCTCTCCTGGCACATGTGCTCACTGGGCTAGAAACCCTGACAGCTGGAAGTACACCCTAAAAGAGAGTGGGACAGCTCAGCGGCCTCGCTGTGGAAGGCTGGGTGTGCATTAGACTCCCCTGCTCCCCCAGGGAATTGTCCTCCCATTCTGGATACGGCTCCTCCTCCGGGCTCTTCGGGGAGGGGAGATCTGCTGTCCAGTGTTCTTTGTGGGTTGTAGGCTAGTTGACTGGGGCTCATTGCTCCATGACCCACTTCTCCCCAGGCAGAGGTGCTAAGTGTGAGAGACCCAGCAGGCCCTCCCTCGGCCCTCAGCCATTTCCAGCAGCTCCTTCCCCACCCACTCCCAGCAGGCGGCAGGCGGCAGGCCCTGCTCCCTCCTGGAGGGTGAAGGCAATTAGCTCATGGAATGGGCTTTGCTGAGCCAGTGGCAGAGGCTGAAGCCATTGTCCCAGGACAGAGCCAGGGCATAGGAATGGGTTGTCTCGGAAACCCTCAGGTGTGCTCCTCACTGACCCCCGGGAATTCTTGGAATCCCTGGGAAAACTGTCAAAAGGGTGAGAGGAATCCAGATGGAGACCCCAACCCTTTTGTCGCCATCAAAGGGAGAGAGTCTGCCCGTGTGTGGCCTCCAGGTGCCAGACACCAGTGACATCAGTGGGCAGTCAGGCGGCTGTGAGTCATTGGTGCTTCCTAGCTGACGGCCCCCAACCTGGCCTCCCCCTTGGCCTTCACTGAGGCACAGCGGCAAGAGGCAGACTTAGGAGGTGGCACTTGTTCTCCACAGCTTGTGGAAGGCAGGCCAGACTCCCAAGCCTCTGTGTATCCCACCCCCACCCTGAAGGCACACCTAGGTCTCCCATGGCCCCCGGCATCCTTCCCGGCAGGCACCAGCTACCCATGCTTGGGACCCTACCGAACTTCCCTCTGGGAGGGGTGGCCCAGCCTTCACCAGCCCTGGAAGTCACCCAGAAACCTTTGTATCCTCTCAGACACTGGCCCTGAAAATGCCCCTCCCTCCCTGCCCTCTCTGTCAGAAACCTGAAGTTCTTCTGATACTACAGGTCAGGTCAGGGGTGGGTGGGACCACCAGGCAGCTTGAGAAGGGAAGCTTAGTGCAGCCATCCCCATGGAAGCAGAGCAGCTGTCCCACGATCCAGAAACCCAGGTGCAGCCGAACTGGGACCCCTCCCTGGAGAGTCCTGGCCCCAGGAGGGCCTCGACCCAGAAACAGGCACAGAGCCTCACCTTCTGGCTGCATGGGATGGCACCCTGCTGAGCTCTCCTTCTCTGGGCCCCCACTGCCCTCCCACCCACCACCATCCCCAAATCCCCCATCTCTCTGGCCCTTTCTAGTGAACAGGTGAGCCACAGAGCCTCGGAGGAGACAGGGCCCTAGTCTCTCTTCAGAGAGGTCCCTGGGTGCCCCCAGGATGGGGTAGGGATGTGGACTGCAAGAAGGGAGGGGGGTGGGGTGGGGCATGGCTGTGTGTGTGTGGAGCGGGGGTGGGGTACCCCAGGACACTTCACCTACCTCTCAGCCTCAGTCAGGGGTGATACAGCTGTCTGCTCCCTCCTCACGTAGGGACAGGGGACAATGGCCAAGACTACAGGCCTACATCCTCCTCTGTGTCCACCCTGAGTGGACATCAGGAGGAGTAGCAACCTGGTGGACAGATGGTCTGTCCGCTTCCAGCTCCCAGGCCCCTGATCTTAGGGTTCCTGCCCTCACGCAGAAAACTCCCCTCCTGAGCCTCATAGGAACCTGCCTGCCTCAGGGTCCGCATGCTTGGACTTCTGGGGTGACAGAGTGGACAGCCAGGATGGGGAGAGACCCCCACTCAGCTCTTGCCCCAGTTCCACTGGCTCTTTCATGACAGTGGCACAGAACTAGGAGGAAGGGCCTCTCCACTCCGGGTGAGCTGAGGTCTCCCAGCGGGTGGGATGGAGGCATAGGGCTTCTGAGCAGAGAGAGGAGGCCTGTCATCCCTGAGCACCCTGGCACCCAAGATACCCACAGCCACTCCCCTCCAAGCTTGGGGATGCCGTGGGAAGGGAAGCTGCACTCCTCCTCCGGTGGGACCTGCACTGCGCCTTCCCCCCCAGGCCGCCCCCCAAGCAGCTATTGTGCAGTGGCCTTGGCGGGTATAAATAGCCCGGGCAGCCGGCACCTTGCAGTTGGCACCTTGAAAGTGTGGGCTGAGGGTTCACTGCAGGCTTGTCTCTCAAGGCTGGCAGAGTTGGAGTGGGGGGGAGGGCAGGTATCCATGCCCGACAGCCTGAGTGTGGGGACTGGGGTGCTGCTGCAGTGGAGCTGGCTTGTCCCCCTTCCTGGGAACCTTCTTGCCCAACCCCCCGTGGTTACAGCCTCGAGGTCTTCCCATGTGCTGCTCACTTGGCCCCCAGAGGCTCCTCCAACTCTGAGCCTGGGGGTTCTTTGGCTCTAGCCTTCAGACCTCAGCCCAAACGTCACCCCCTGGGGGGGATTTTCTCTCTCCTGGCCCTCACAGCAGCCCCTGTCTTTTGCTCGCAGAGTGTTTACTAGTTCGTACTTAGATATCCATTCGCACATTTGCTGCTCCCACAGCCGGTGTGCGTGAGGTCACTGAGTCTCTTGAGTCCCCCCAAGTCCAGAGAGCTAGGCACCCAGCAGGCACGAGCTTCATCAGTGCCGCTCCCACGAAGGATCCCCCCACTTCCTCCCTCTGTGGGGTGCGTGGCAGGATGGGATGTGCCCTGCCCACACCCTATCTTCCCTGGAAGTCAAGGCCAGAGCAATTGGGCCCTCTCTCCAACCTGACATGCCCCAGGGCAACTTGGGCACAGGTGGCAAGCACTAGGCTGGTCCTTCCCCCGGAGGCCCGGAGCTGTGGCTATGTGAGTGGCAGTGGCTCTGAGAGGGGCCGGGGCTGGCCGGTGCTCCTACACACGGAAGGCGACGGGGCTGGCCGATGCTCCACGGGTGGGATTGTCCCCTCTGCTGCGCCGGGGCCCAGGTTCACGTAGGTTGCGGGCAGCTGCACATAGTGGTCCCCACACAGTGTGGCCGCCACAGACTCCACCTCCTGCACCAGCGCCCCAAAGGTGGGCCGTGTCCCTGGCTCTGTGGCCCAGCAACGCTGCATGATCAAGTACCTGAGGGGGACAGGGGGTGTCAGGGTCAGGGAAACGCTGTGCCTAAGGCCTCCACCTGGCTGGCTGTCCACTGACTTTTAAGACCTCTGGCTCAGGAAAATGTGTTGAGCTCAGGTGACAGGGTCTGGTGGCCAGAGCAGCTCTGCATGACACTGGGAGTCCTGCTTCCCCACCTGAATTTGTGGGGGATGGTGGCTGGTGGGGGGTGTTAAACCTGGGCTGTGTGACCCTGAGCACATTCCCTAACCTTGAGGAGCCTCCTAGTTTTCCTATGCTCTCAGGGCTATGGGGTCATAAGGTGAGGGGCCTGTGAAACGCTCGGTGCAAGGTGGCATTGCAAGTTGGCATGAGGCATCTTCCAGCCAGGTTGCCTACATCCTGCAAAACGGGATTGAAAGTCCTGAGAGTGACCTGTGGGCAGCAGCAATGGTGCCCCCGCCACACACACCCGGCTCTCTCTGGGTTTGGTCCAATGCCCACTCCATTCTCTTAGTGATGTCATCCCTGCCTTCAAGAACATTCTAAGTGCCTGTGGTAGTTACATCATTTGGTGTCAATCTGAGAGGATTAAGAGTGAAGAGGTGGAGTTTAGCCTGTCAATTAGGTGGCAGCTTGATGACTTCATTTGGAGATGCTGAGGAAAATAAATAGCTCGTTGGAGGCGGGACACAGGCTCACTCCCTGGGAGACATTGGAGCTGACAAGACACATGGAGCTATGATAGTGCCCTGAGTGAGAGCAGCCACGTGGAGACCCCTGCCAGCGCTGAGATGCTTACAACTCCGCTGGATCCACAAGACTTTCCCACCCACTGGCCTGTGATCTTCCTGCATTGGGCATCATTGCATGTGTTGTGTGAGTCTGAAGAGGACTTTATAGCTCGGTATGGGACATATGGGTAATATCGGGTGTATGGACTTGATCTGGGCTGGGATGTTTTCTTAATGTCCAATTACTCTTTATATAAAGCTCTTTTATACACATATGAGTATCTATGAATTTGTTTCTCTACCCAGACTCACACAGTGCCCTACACTCAGCATCTTGTGATTCTCAGCCTTCCGGGGGTTGGCTTCTGCGGTTACCCTCTCTGGCACCCAGAGAGGGGCAGGGGGCTTGTCCAGGCGAAGCAGACCCTGTACCACGCCACCAGATGCTCCATCTCTTCTCCGTGGCTGAGAGTGTTCCCTTCCCCTGGCTCTTGGCTGAGGCCCTCTCTGAGAAGCTCCTGAGCTCACACCCCTTCTCTGGGGGTGGTCAAGGGCAGGGGTGGAGGCTTGATGTAAGGAAACTCTGCAGGGCCAGGCCAGGCCAAGAAATCCCCGTGGGACGGGCTGCAGCCCCTGGTGCATCCGAGCGGCACCCCTGCCGCCCTCTGCTGGTCTTGCTTCCCTCGCCGACTATCGTGTCTGACCTGAGCTCAGGGCGGCCCCACGTGTGACAGCGGAGAGCTGGGTGTCCCTGGCTGTGATCTCTACAGAGGAAGCACTGCTTTGCTCTGTGGAGCTGCTGGGCAGGTTCGAACCATCAGCCTTTCCCTTAGCAGCCAAACACAAGCCAGGACCTACCGGTCAGCTCCCTGCCCTCAGGCCTTGGCCTCGGAGTCTGTTTCAGGGAGCCTGAACTGGCCCTGGGCAGGCAGAGAGAGGCAGTGAGTCAGAAAGCTCAAACGCCAGGCAGGCAGGGCCAGGAAGCAGGGGCGCCCATGCCCGGCGTAGAGCTTAGCCTGAGACAGGCGCCACCAACCAGTCACCTGTGTCCCGGTTGTCCCTGTTCTGACAGCTCAGACCCGGCCACCGTGGAGGCTCGCAGGCTGCTTAGGAAGCTACAGCTCGGGACCAAGCCCAGCCCTGGGGAAGCAGTCACCGCATAGCAACCGCCACCCCTCCAGGACCAGGGAACTGGAAACCACAGCGGGTGAAAACAATTTGATCTGCAGACAGGGAGGGGGCTGGTGTGGGAGCTGATGGGAGCCTCCCTCGAAGTGGGGCAGAAAAGGGAGGAGACAGCCTGCTCCTTGGCAGGGCTGAGGATAGCGGAGTGCTGGAAAACCGAATCTCAATCTCGGGCCTCAGCCCAGCCTTGGAGTTGGGGATGCAGTTACCATGGCAACCACAGGGGCATCCCAGCAGCCTGCCTTGAATGGGGCTGAGAACCAGAAGTTGACAGGTGAGGAACCTGAGGACCAGCGAGAGGACTGCCCCAGGGTCTGACCAGGATCTCTTGCCTGCCCCTCCCCTCCCTGGTACTCACAGGGCATCAGGGCAGTACTCTGGCTGCGGCAGGCGCCGACCCTGGGCCAGGAAGTAGGTAAGGTCAAAGGGGTCGATGTGCGGGTACGGTGGGGCACCCCGTGTCAGCAGCTCCCACAGTAACACACCAAATGACCACTGCAGGGAAGAGGAGACAAGTTTAGGGGGTAGGCAGGTGGGTGGGTCCCCATGTCCTCTACCTCCCAGAGGAAGGTATTGGGGGGCGCCCCCCTCCCCCTCCAAACACATTCTCTTCCATACCTCGCAAGCATCTCCCCTCAGTCTCTCCCCACCACTTCAACCTCGGGTCACTCTTTGGAGGGAAGACATCTGAGTAGGGACTAGGTAGGAGCTAGAGCGTCCTCGAGAAGCCCATGAGCTACAGGCGGGAATTACAGTCCACCTTACAGCCGCCCCGGAAGTAGCGAAGGGGCAGCTCACTCAGCCCCGCAGGGCACTGAAGTCACTGCCAGCATGGACCAGGAGGGGCCTCACCACGTCGGACTTGGTGGTGAACTTATAGGTCTGTAGGCTCTCCAGTGCCATCCACTTGACTGGCAGGCGGGCGTGGGGGTGCTGCCGGACACTGTAGTACTCCTTGTCCAGGGTGCCCCGGGCCATCCCGAAGTCAGCCACCTTGACGGTGAAAGACTTGTCCAGCCTAGGGGCAGGGGGGTGGAGGGAGCCACACTCAGGACCCGCCCATCAGGCCCTGGACTGACCTGGTCCAGCATCTCCGTCGCCTCACAGGATGAGGGCCCAACCCCCACATGCACTGGGCAGGGAGGAAACGGAGGCAAAGCGACGGAGGGAGGAGGCGTGCCCGGTGCTGCCCAGCAACAGCCGGGGCTGGAGGGTGGGCCCTTCCTGAGATGTTCCTGGACAGCCACACCCACTGGGGCCCTTGTCCCTTCGCCTCAGCCCAGGTGTTGCGGCCCCTCAGGCGCCTCACATGCAGTTCCGAGCAGCCAGGTCCCTGTGCACAAACTTCTTCCCCGCCAGGTACTCCATGCCCCGGGCCACTTGCAGGCCAAAGCCGATGAGGTCCTTCACGGTGGGGTTCTGGAAACACAGCAGGTAGGACAGAGCAGTTCCAGACCCAAAGGTGATGGAGACACCCTACCCCCACCCCCGCCCCAGGGCCAGCTGGGCAAGAACTGACCCGCTGAGGGGAGCGTATGAACTGGCGCAGGTCTCCATGGCACATGTAGGGCAGCAGCACCCGGGGCATGCCCGCAGGGGGCAGCACGATGCCGATGAGGGGCAGCACATGCGGGTGGTGCAGGCCGCTCATGAGCAGCCCCTCCCGCAGGAAGGCCTCCACTTCCTGCACCTCGGTGATGCCTGCGGGGCAGAGCGGCGGGGTCAGGCCCAGAGCAGGGAGGGAGAACTGAGGTCTCTGGCTCAGGGTGGCTGGGTCACCAGGGCCCCCTCCTTTCAGCCTGGGGCTCCTCCCTGACTTTCCCAGTCCCCCGCCCACTCACGGCTCAGAGACTTGACAGCACAGTGGACTCGGTTCTGAGCTGGATCCGTGTATTCTCCGTGGTACACAACTCCAAAGTGGCCTGGTGTGGGGGGAGGTGGTCAGCACAGAACTCACCCCATGCCCTTTCCCTGGTGACCAGACGTGAACAACCCGCAGCAGCCATCTCTCTGAGAGCAGAGCCTGCAGCCTTCCCGTGCCCGCCAGATCCCACCGCACGCAGAACTGTTCTAAGCCCACCTTCAAAGCTGAGCTCACGGAGACCCCCCCCAGAGGTGACGCGGCATCCCCAAGATCCCGTGGGATGGTGAGAGGAGTCGAGGCCCAGCCCAATTGCGCCCCGATCCTACGTTATCTGAGGACCTCCACCTCTGTCCCGGCCCAGCCCAGCCTGGCCCCCCACACCTCTGCCAATGACTTGGTCGCTGTGGGTGACCACTCGCTCGAAGGGAATCAGCACGTCCTTGACCTCCGCCAGGAGCGTGGAGTCGAGGTCCCGGAGCTGGATGGACTTGCTCTGGAGCAGCGGGGCATGGGGCTCGTCCCTGTCGTCTGAGAAGGACCCTCTGTGGATCCGGGCAGTAGGGTCCAGAGCCCCAGTGTCAGGGGGTTCTGTGGGAGGAAGGGAGTGAGGAGCTTGGAGAGGACGGGGTGTCCCCAGCTTCTAGCCCCTCCCGTGTCTTACCAAGGTGACTTCTGTAGTCGGAGCCCGAGCGCAGCAGATGCAGTGGGATGCCGCCAGAGGTCCGGTCCAGGGATGCCAGGTCATCCAGGTTGGGAGAAAGGGCTGCAGATGGATGGCTTCGGTGGGTCGGCTTCTCGAAGCTCCTCGGAGCCCATGCCTACTCCCACCCCCCCGAGGTATGGGCAGACTCCAAAGCCCAGGCAGAGTGCGGGGCGCAGGGACTTGGAGGTGCCCTTGGTGGATGGCTGGGGCCCTGTCAGGGTCGGGGCGGGAGGCTCACCTTGCTGTTTCTTCCGCCGCCGGTAGTTGAAGAACAAAGCGAGGGCCACTAGAGCCACAAACAGGATCAAGACCACTAAGAGCCCAAGGAGTATGCCCTGCAGGAATCCCTCTGGGCCTCGCCGCATCACCTTGCCCAGGTCATGACACACACTGTCCACACAGACCTATTGGCAAGCCACAGCTCAGGCCTGGGACCCAGGCTCTGGATTGACCTGAGCCACCCGTGGAAGGCTAGCTGGCCTGCCTACCTGCAGTGGGGCTCCTGTCTCACCGAGCTCCAGGGAAGGGGGCAGGAGGCAGATGACCACGTCCCCCCGGAACTCGTGCTGGCAGGCCTCACCGCCCACGGTCACATTCACACTCACGCAGTCAGCCACGGCGGCCAGTCCAATATACTGTGGAGACAAGGGTGAGACGGTCGGTCGGCCCCGTCTCTCTGAGGAGGGGGTGGTGCTTCAGCTCCACCCCCTGACCCCAAAGCCCACTCCCAACCATCTTCCACCCCTACCTGGAACTTGACGGCATGCTCCCCAGGCTTCAGTGGGGCAGGGTCAGCACTGGGGGCTAAGGGTGGGGGCAGGAAGCGGAAGCCGGGCAGCGTAAAGCCTGCAGCTCCATCCCCGCGAGCACTCAGGTTCCCGGTCACCCCCTCCTGGGAGCTTCTGAGCACATGTGGGGGCAGGTAGCACCTCTGCTGGTCCGGGAGCTGCTTCTCACACTGCCAAGGCCCACAGGACAGAGGTTCACCAGCCGCCCCTCTCTGATCGCCCGCCTGTTTTCCCCCAGCCCCGTGTGGGGTGGGGCAAGGGCACCCGAGACTGGTTGGGGCTTCCTCCCTCTGGGCCAGGGCCCAGCCTGTGCTGCACGTGCCCACTCACCCTGTTCTCCACTGCCCCAAGCTCGTCACGGAATGAGAGCATCATGTGCCATGCTGACGTCAGGTGCTGGCCACGGATGGTAACATGGGAGCCTCTGTCAGAGAGGGCAGGGTGGTAGGGTTGGGGACCCTTCAGAGGCTGGGTTCCCTCAGCCCTCAGAAGCCAGGGTGGGCAGGGAAGGGGCACTTACGTGTAGCCACAGTTGGGGCTGATGCCTAAAACAACAGGGTCTTCCAGGTAGTGGAAGATCCAGGAGCCTGGCACCTCGGCACCCCCCACCTGCAGGCGAAGAGGAACGCTGGCCGTGGCAGCCCCGGGGGGTGTGGCACATAGAAGCTGCCCTTCGCTGACCCTGCAGAATGGGGAATGGGCTCAGGGGCACCCTTGTGTGGTGGCCAGGCCCGTCTCTTCCAGGGGCTTGCTCACCCCTCCCAGTTCCTCTGTTGGCCCCAAACCTGCCCACACCCCCATGGGCCTACCTGAAGATGGAGGAGTGCCAGTGAGAGCCCCAAGAGAGCGGGGAGCCAGGAGGCTCCCCTGTAGCCTTGGCTGGAACCCAGGGGCTCTGCAATGGCTCTCTGGCCGACCTGGGGTTGCACATGGGCAGGGAGCCAGCTACTTCTGGACAGGCGCTTGCAGTCTTTATGGGTCTACTCTCCACACCAACAGATGCCGGGCCCTCCTCCCTCTGCTGTGACCAGGATCCAGGTCCCCATTGGTAAGGGGGAAATCCAGGTCCCCCCTGGCGAGGGCTCCCATAGCCTCCCGTCCCCTTGCTTCCTGGCACTTACTGCTGTAGCAGGCACTCGGTCCCGTTGACTAGCACAGCCCGGCTGCTGCCTACACACAGACCCTGGCCTTCGAGGGTGAGAAGGGTGCCCCCAGCCCGTGGGCCATACTGAGGCTGCACAGCTGTCAGCACTGGCTCCTAGCAGGGCACAGAGGCGGCTTAGCGGGAACAGGCCCTCTTCCACAGCGCCCAGCCCACCAAGAGCGTAGAAAGGGCACAGTTGGCTCACCACGAATGAGAAGCCTTGCAACACAGAACGGCCTTCTACCCGGAAGTGCTTGCCCGCCGTCATGTTGACCACAGTGAGGCTGACGTTGGCAGGCCCGACTGCCTGTCCAGCCCAGGGCTCCAGCTCACACTCAAACTCCTCTATAAAGTCATCCCCGGACACTGGCCTGGAGCATGGGGGGGAACCATGAGGTCAGCCTCGCTGCGTCATTGCCACGGTCACAGGCCTCTCTGGGCCTGAGGATGATCTCTCCTACACCGTCTCTTCCCGGGTAAAACTCAAACCAAATGCACTGCCAGCGAGTCGGTGCTGGCTCACAGCAACCTTACAGGGCAGGGTAGGACCACCCCTGAGTTTCTGAGACCATAACTCTTTGCGGGAGTTGAATATTGAATGTCACGTCTGTCCCCCGAGGAGTCACTGGTGCCCCCGGGGTAGGCGGGGTCGAATTGGGTCAGTGAACATCCTTGCCTGGGTCCGTGACTCGACAGCTAGATAGGGGACATGCCGGCCCAGAAAGGGGGAGAGATGCCTCTCCAGACACACAGAGCTAGAGCCACCGTGGACCTGCAGCTCGCTCTGCCACCCCCCACCGCCCCCACCCCAGATACACATGGGACAGGGTCTCACAGGGAAGGGGTTGCCTGGATGCCCTGGCAGGGACACCAGGACAGGGAACAGGTTGTACCTGAAGTTTGAGGTGTCCTTGGGCAGCAGCCGGCATGGACTTTGGCCCACGGTGACCTGGTGGGTACCCTTAGGCACCGAGTCAGCAGGGCGCAGGTGGAAAGTGGAGCCACACAGTGTCAACCTGGTGCTGCCCCTTCTGGGTCCACTATGGGGATGGAACTGAGGGGAGGGGCAGAGCCTGGGTCCTTGTGTAGACCTGCGCTCGCCCATCCCTGCCCGGCTGGCCCCAAAGTCTCCTACCCAACTCTGTGCACCCCCCCTACACTCTAGCCTCTCTGGGCTACCTCAAACCCGCACTTTCCTGACCACAAGGATCTGCACATGTTATTCCCTCTGCCGAGAATGCCCTCCTGGTAGATAGTGAGGACCCCCTAGGCCTGAAGAAGGTTGTAGTGAAGACCTGCCAACCCCACCCTAAGTCTGGCTTGTATCACTCTTATCTGTGCCCGAGAAAGCATACCTCAGTGAGCTCAGGTGGACAGCGATCCTGTTGCCAGGAGCCAGGACACTCCTGTCGTCGGCCACACAGGCCCCCACACCAGCCACAGCCCATGAAGCGCCCAGCCCGCAGGCAACGCCCACAAGTGAGGAAGTGGCGGCAGCCAGGGCCCCGGATGGGCACCTGGAAGACCTTGGGTGGTAGATGGGTGACTCAGGGGTGGCCTCATGGACTCCCTGGCCACACTCCAAGTCAGGATGGTGGAACCCAGGTTATATCCACGCTTATCTCGTTTGGGTGGGGTATGCTCCATGCCCACAGCCCTGACCCCAGGCCCTGACTCAGGCCCACCTCACCTGGTCCCCAGAGGCAAAGAGCAGGTCATCCCCAAAGCGACTGAGGTCCCGTTGCACGGGCTGCCCATTGCTTCCCAGGGAGAAGTTGGACACGTACAGCAGGTAGTTGAGAGATCTGGCCAGCTCCACCTGGACAGGAAAGCTGTGAGCGAGTGACATGGGGATGGGGGACTCAGATCTAGGAGGCGGTGGGCAAGAGGGATTCACTCACCTGTAAGACGCGCCCTTCGGCCGTGCCCATGTGGGCCACAGTGATGTTCCCCAGGCGTGTCACATGCAGTGCGGTCACCTGCACCTCCCCCAGCAGCCCGTTGAAGAGGTCCACACGTGAGATGCTGCTGCTGACCAGCAGGGGGAAGTAGTAGCAGCTGATGTTGGGGTTGGGAGCCACCAGGCCAGGCTGGGGAGGGCCAAGAAGGGGGTCAAGGCTTGGTTGCACACACTAACCTCTTGGGGCCTCTGTCAGTGACCCCAGCTGCCCAAGATGCTCAGCTTGACTGGAGGCCCACAGCCTGCCAGCCTCCTCCCTGTACTCATACTTCTTACAGGAAGCAGCGGGAGGGGAGGAGACTTGACTGGAAAGCTGGCTACCCTCACCTCCCCTGGCCTTCCTGATAAAGCGACTGGACCTTACGGACAACCCTGCTCGGCCCTCACCACCACCTTGTAGAGAGGTCTGGGTACTGGTTTCAGGCCTCAGAGCGCCTCCAAAGAGGAGCCAGGTTCTTTGAAGTCTGAGTTCTAACCAGAGTCCTCTCTGCTGGCTCTGCCCTGCCCCTCTGTGTGCATGTCAGCAAACCAGACCCTTTGCCAGGCCTGGCTTTCCCCGCCGCACAAGAGGCTGGACTCTAGGTGAATTGGCCAGTCCTGCCGGTGACAGCATCCCTCTCCCTGAGATTCCAGAGGTCTCCTTGAACCCCAGACCATTCCCTGGACCTCTTCTCTTGCAGGGTACAGAAGAGATCAACAGAGGGCCCAAGGGCCTGGCCACCAGGAGACACTCCCTCCAGGGCTGTGGACGTTGCTGGGAAACTAGGAAGTCAGGCTGAGGACCAGAGAGAGGTGCTCCAACTAGACAACTCGCTGCCATCAGTCATTGTCCCCTCACAGTCATCCTACAGGATAGAGCAGCGCAAAAGGCTAAGTGCTGGCTCAAAGGTTGGTGATTCGAACCCACCCCAAAGGGCCTTGGAAAAACAGCCTAGCTTTTCTGAAGGGCCACAGCCCTGAAATCCCTATGGGGTAATTCTCTTCTGTATCACGCACTGGTTGTCGAGAGTCAGGATTGACACAGTGCTAACTGATGACAACAGGGGGCCAGGGAGTGCTCAGCAGCTTCCAGGCCGAGGCTCAGGGACCCCCACCAGATCCAGGGAACCAAACCCAGTCCTGAACACCCTGTGCTGAGCAGAAACCCTGCGGGCAGGAACAAGCCCACAGTCCACCCTTTCATGTGTGCATGCGCGTGCGCACACATGCTCACATTGGGCCTGTCACCTGGGTGGCTGCACAGTGGAGCTGGCATTCTGTCCTCACCTGGCATGGGTGAGGGGATGGCCTGAACCGGAAACCAGTCAGGTGTTTTCAACATGACTCAGGGAAAGGTGGGGCAGAAAAAAGGCCTCACCCTTGCCTGCTTGCCCAAGGCTTGTCTGGGCCTCCTTAGATCCTGGAAACACATGACTTAAGTGCCCAGTGCCTTACTCTGGTGGGTGACTCTCCCACCGGAACCCACGGAGGGAGCATTAGGGCCAGACAACCAGATGAGGTTCGCTGTCCTGGGGGCTGCGTGTCTAGAGTCACTGAACAAAGACTGTAAAGGGTTAACTCACATGCGGGGCTACCCCCCAAGTCTGACTTCCCAAGAGAAAGAACAGAAGGCAGGCAGGAGGCTCAGACAAGGGTCCCCGCCCCCAGGGCCTCCTTCATCCATTGGACTCAGCTGAGGGAGAGGCTACAGGATTCCTCCGCCCTGGGTCTGGGTTCTCAGTCACCTCAGGGTCATCAGTGGGTGTGAGAAAGTCACAGCATGGCCCTGCGAGCAGTGGCTATGGATCAGCTCACCGAAAGACCACTTGCCCCCCATTTCCTTGCGTTAATCTGGCATGGTCTGGGGTGGAACTGCTCAGCGGCTTCAAGGGAGGGGTGTTGGCTCAGAGCTTTGGGTTCGTTTCTGTGCCTGACACTGTCTGGAGAGAATCTGGGGTCAGGCTGCTGGACGGAGTCACAGTCCGAGGCCCCTCAACGTCCCCAACTACAGTAGAGGCAGCTCTAGGGCCTCCTGCCTAATGGGCCAAGTCCAAGCAGCCCTTGCCAGGCCTTAGCTCAGTGGTTCTCAACCTTCCTCATGCCACGACCTTTTAATACAGTTCCTCATGTTGTGGTGATCCCCAACCATAACATTATTTTCATTGCTACTTCATAACTGTCGTTTTGCTACTGTGATGAATCATCATGTAAATATCTGATATGCAGGATGTATTTTCATTGTTACAAATTGAACATAAAGCATAGTGATTAATCACAAAACAAAATGTCATTATAGATTGTGAAATATTTATGTGTTTGCTGATGGTCTTAGGCGACCCCTGTGAAACGGTCTTTCGACCCCCTCACAGGGGCCGCGACCCATAGGTTGAGAACCACTGCCTTATCTCATTCCCTGCACAAGCCTGGTGTGTGCCCTGTGGAACATTCTAGAGCCAGGGTGTCTTGTAGTATACAGGCGTTCTCCCAATCTCCCCAAGGAGAGCCATGGGCGGTGTGTGTGTGTGTGTGTGTGTGTGTGTGTAAGTAGTTCTAGGAAGCCCAGGCCCTGTGGGCCCCTCAGTCAGCAACCCAGCCTACGGAGGCCCCAGGGGCTTCCCAGAATCCTGCGGGGTGGGGGAGTGGGATGTGTCTCTTGCTCCAACCTCTTTGGAGAGTAGAGAAAATGAAACTGAGTGTGGGGGAGCCAGTGACATCTGCCTGTATGTGTTATCTCTGTGTGGGATGTGGGGGCTATTTTCCCGTGGGCACGTCAGTCCCTGACCTGGCCGTGTGGTGTGTAAGGGGCTGCTTTCCCATGTGTGCATGTTCCTGCAGGTGTGTGTGGGGGGCAGGGGGGCAGGGGAGGGGGTGGAAGTCCGCCATGCTACCCAGAGTTTTCTAGCCGTGTCTGGCAGAGATCCTTCTGATGTAACCCGATCCTAACAAGGGAAACCACCTGGAAACATCAGCAGCCATGACAGTGGGCTTGCGCAGGAGCAAGATAGCAAGTCGGGGCAGGGAGAGGGGCCCACTTAGCAGAAATCGGTGCCTCCGTGAAGCCTTTAGTTGACACACATGTCCCTACCCCCACAGCACTAAGGACCAGAGTGGAAGAAGCTTCTCCTGCCCTCTTCCAGCCCAGACTCTCCAAAGGTGGTCAGCCACCTGTGTGCTCCTCAGAGGTGAGGGAGGGCTCCTTCGTCTGCTTACCGGGTTCGGGCACAGGCTGGGCAGCTGGAAGAAGTCCAGGCCTCTGCGGAGGCCTGAGAGCACCGGGGCCCGGCAGCACCTGTCCTCGCCCTGCTCGATGAGGGTGTCCAGCAGAGTGATAGGGAAGGCACAGACCACCGAGTTGGGGCCTTCTCTGGGCCCACGGTCCCTGCTCCTTCCGAAAACCCCAAACAGCACCTCCTGGCCTTCCTTGATGCTCAGCTCGATGGCTAGTTGGCCGCCCACGGGCGCCGTGTGGGCTGCCCGTAATACCGGGTAGTCCTGCCCAACTTTGGGGGTCTCGCTGCGGCGCCGGCGGCGTTTGGGCTCGAAGCTGCAGCGGAGAACCAGCTCGCGGTAGTCACTCAGCTCCACCTCAGTGGCTCCTAGTCGAGCCAGGCGCGTGTGCAGGGCCCGGGGCCCGGCCTCCACGCTTGCAGGCTGCACGCTCAGGAAATACACGAAGGCTCCCGCCCGGAAGCTGTGCACGTACTCGATGCGGTAGGAGGCCAGGTATGCGGGGCGCACTGACAGGGCCACGAAGTCTGGGGCGAACCCAGTGAAGTCGGCCTTGAGACGCCGGATGGACACGGACTGCGGGCTGAAGCTGGCGCCCACGGCTGCATCCAGGGACGCCGCCGCGTAGAGGTAGGAGGCCTGGCCCTGCTCCACCACGGTCACGCGGGTGCCCAACGGGCTGGCCACGCAGTCGGGGCAGCGCTCGGGCTGGTTGTGGAGCGCCGAGAAGAGGCAGGCGGGCGGTGCCAGGCGCACACCTTGCTCGCCGAACTTCAGCTCGTGCAGGAAGCAGCGGCCGTGCAGACTGGAGCCGCAGCTGATCAGCGCGGGCACCGCCATCTCCAGCGCCAGCACCTGCATGTCCGTGTCGCCCGGCGGGCCGTGGGGGCCGGGGCCGCAGGCCGAGCACGTCTGGCAGCCGGGGTCACCGGCGGGGCCCGTGGCGAGGCTCTGCACTGGCCGCAGGCCGGGCCCCAGCATGTGGAGGCGGTTCCGCGTGGCCACGAACACCGCTCTTCCGTTCTCGTCCTCGTAGGTGACCACGGCCTGCACCTGGCCGCCGGCGGCGAAGCTGGGCACCGAGTACTCCACGTCGAAGTCGCGGGAGGCAGCGTAGGGGATTCGCGAGCACTGCCGAGGGCTCTGGCACCGGCCGGGCGCCGTCCCGGTCCCCGTCCCGGGAAGCGGCGGCGGCAGTAGCAGCAGTAGCAGCAGCAGCCGGAAGGGATGCAGCTGGAGGAGCGCCATCGAAGTTGGCGGCGGGGTGCGGGCCGCTGGGCGGGGGCCGGCCAAGGGGGAGCCTCCAGACTTTGGCTGCGGCCAGCATCCAGCGTCGGTCCCTAGAGCCGCCTCCGGGCAGCCGGCCCCGGTCCGCCCAGGGCTCTGGTCAAGTCCAACCCGCAGGCGGGAGATCGAAAGCAATGCAATCGCCGCCCGCTTCACCTGCCGCGGGCATTAGCCGAGCTCAAAGTCTGCCCGCAAGCCGTGGGGCCCAGGCTGGCAGGACCAGGGGGCGGGGCTGAGGGGGCTGGTGGGCGGGGCCGCGGTCAAAGACCAGCCCAGCCCAGCTCCTCCTCCCACCAGACTCTACCGCCTTGGGGAACCTGGGTCTTGTACCTTTCCTCTCCTGGGTCCTTTAAGCTCAGCCGCTATAGTGATGTGTACCTAGGGGTGGCCCGGAGAAAGGTGAGTAGACCTGAGTCATCCCATGCTTCGCCCTACGAGCAACTAAGCAGAAGTTGGGGGATGGGGGAGGCTTGGCTAGCCCAGGCACCAGTCAGAGTGTGGGCCGGGCCACAATACAGCAACGCTGCCGAGTGGAGTCTGAGAGGCTCACTCGTGGCTTGTAGAGACCAGGAATATATGGAGGACGAGAGGGGAGACCACCGTGGGGCCTCAGCCTCCATTATGAGATAATGTAGTTCTGGGTAGGTGGCTGTGTGTGTGTGTGTGTGTCTTCTCTCCATTTCCCTCACTTACTTAGCATTTAACTTGGGGCAACTGTTCCTCAACACTAGGGGGACAGCCTCAGCCCGACAGTCCCTCAGCCAGCCCCTGGAGGGAGGACCATTGGAGGGAGGACCAGGGAGGGAGGGGAAGCCTCGCAGGGGGGCACTAGATTGAGGTTTAAGGGGTGTATTGGATGGAAGTGGGATGCGAGGGAGGGGCCGAGGGAGCTGCATCTCCTCCACTCCCCCACCGGCACCTGCCAGTGTCCTGGGTGTAACACCACCTGTTCAGGGCCCTTTCCACTTCTAGTGATGAAGTCGTTTCTCTGGGCTGTTATCTCTACAAGAGCAGATCTCCCTCGGAGCTAGCAGCTAAGTGTTTAAACATTTCACTTAGAATAAAACTCCAACTGCTGTCCTCATGTGGACTCTGATCATAGGGACCCTGTGGGTAGAACTGCTCCTTTGGGTTTCCAAGGCTATCGATCTTTCATGGGAGCAAAAAGTCTCATCTTTCTCCCCAAGGAGTGGCTGGTGGGCTCGAACTGCTGACCTTACGGGATTAACAGCTCCATGGGGAAACCCACTAGGTCACCTGGGCTTCTAGGGTAGCCTTTGTAAATGCTTAGAGCCCTTCCTCTTCTCACAGCTTGGATGGCATCTCCTCCAGGAAGCTTTCCTGGCTCAGGGTGTGCCAGGCCTCTATCCTGGGTCCCAGAGTCCCCCTGCTGTACACTCACCGTAGCAGACTTACTTTACTCCAGATACCTGACTCTGCCTTCCCTCCCACCCCCACCCCCAAGAGAGCTCTGTGAACACCTAATGATGAACAGCGGGGAGCAGCCACACCCAGTGCCGGGAGGACCTCTCCTTTTCTGAACCAGAATTGGCCTGGAAATGAATAAACATCCAGTGAGAATCAGGGTGTGGTTCCTCCGTTCCTTTGGTCAACAAGTCTACAGATAGTCACGCAAGGCATCAGGCTGGTGCCAGGACCCAGGTTCCCCGGGACCTCCTCTTAGCTGCAGAGAGGTTCAGAGACTTCCCAAGGTTATGGCCAGGCTTATACAGCAACCCCCCCCCAATTCCACTCCCCTTTTATAAGCAGGGGTGTCGCAATCATCAGTTGGTTCTCCACTGCCCCCGTGTGGTCATGCTCAGCGCCCGCTCAGCCTCCTCAATTGAGTCCCACGGGAGCCCCCTACCCTCATTGGCCTGCTCTGCAGGAGGGAAGGGGGCAGGCTATGGGGGAGGGGGTATGCTTCCCAGAGGGGAAGGCAACCGATCTGACCCACAGCCAGCGAGCTCAGCACCTGCCCTACTGCCCCCTGGAAGGAGAGCTGGCCACTCTGCCCTCCCTAGGTTCTGACCCTACCCTGAGGCCTAGCCCCAGCCTCTTTCTCTGACAGAGATCTCGACTGTAATAGAAGGGAGAGAGACTCTCTTCACCCACAATAGGACAGTCATTCCCCAGCTTTAAAACCTTCCCTTGCAGACTTACCTGGGACTCCAGCACCCTGGCCACGCAGATTCCTCCAGTTCCACTGTCAATCAGTCATGCTAGCTTCTGGGCCTTTCCTGTTTGCCCAGCATGCCTTCCCTGACCCCCAAACAGTAACCCCACCCTCCGAAGTGCCCCGTTGCCTTCACCTGTGGGTCCCTCTGCTGCCCGAGTCTAGAATAGGTGCTGAGCGACGACCGCTGAGGGCAGGGGTCAGGGAGGCTAGCAGGGGCACTTAGTGACTGGCCACTCCCCAGGACACCAGTGACTGTCAGGGACAGCTGGGCTGGCATCATCCTGGCCCTAAAGGGAGTGGTTTGGTGCCCAGGCCAGGGGCAAGGAAAGGCAGAGAGGCCAGATGATGACAGAAGAGACCCAGGGCCAGTGTGCAGGGTAAGCAGCAGCTCCTAAGGCTGTGGCCACTCCCTAGAACCTCAGGGTGGCCTGGCGCTGTGCCTGTCCTTGCGGGGCTCAGGGGAGGGATTCCACTTCCATGCCACGTAGTATCCAACCTGGGGTGGCTAAGGGACAGAACACCTTGACGCCTCAGAGAGAGACACGAGGGTGATCCTTCAGACAGCATGAAGATCACAAAACTCAGGGGCTGGTGTTCTCCCAGAAACACTTCCTAGGCCTTTCACTCCCCCCACCCAATGACGTGGATAAGTTGCAGCAGACCGGAAGAGCTCCCCCGCAGCAAGATGCAGATCTCCCACCCTGACCCTGGGCTCTGCCCAAAGAAGAGCATGGTGAGTCAACAGGGCCAGTCTTCCGGATGTCCACAGTACTCCCGACAGAGCTGATGATGTCAGGAAGCAGGGTCCCTGAGGAGCACCCCGAGTGTACCTAGAGGACACAGCCTATTTTAGGGCAGGGCCCACGCCTGCCCCGAGGTCAGCCGGGCCTTCTGTCAGGCCCTAGCTCACTTTTAGGACCATTCCGAGGAATGCGCTGAGTGGACGTAGGCCAGCTAAGGAGGACAGCCCTTCACTTCCCAGGAAGGCTTAGCAAAGGCAGTTTCCCCAAAGGCCTACGGTTGACAGGGGAGGCTGGATTCTGGAGGCCGGCTGAATACCAGGCCATTCTAACATAGACGTGCACCCATGCTAGGGCTCAGACCCCTCCCCAGGCCAGACTGCGCTTGCGGATCTACAGCAGTCCGTCAAGTAGCTGCCTGGCCAGGACTCCCTGAATGGTTGAGTCCTTGGGGGTATGAAGCTGGGGTCCCACCCAGGAGTGAGAGGAGAGGCACAAGAAGCTCCCACTGAGTACGGGTGTAGGGCTGTGCCAGTGTACAGGCCAGTGGGGCACCTGAGAACCCTTTCCGTGTGGCAGGGCTTTAGTGCCTGCCTCTGAGCAGTGGAGGGGGGTGCAGAGCAGGTGTGCACGTGCCCCAGTGCACGCGGAGGACTGCAGAGGAGGAGCCGGTGCCCGTGGGTGGGAGTGAGACGACTTGGTGAAGTGTGCACAGCGACAGGTCCCGACAAATGTCTTCCCCAAAGCATTTTAATGCACATACCAGCCCATAGCAGTCCCTGACTGCTGGCTGGGGAAGGCTAGCCACACCTGGAGGCTTCCAAGGCTCCCCCACCCCCGGCCCCAAGCAAACCAGGGAAGGCGGAGCCTGCACACATTCCCATCAGTAGGTGAGGGGCGTGAGGATGAAGAGGCGGTCTTCCTCTTTGCGGATCCAGCGCATCAGCTTATGGATGGCGTTCACGGCAGAGGCCTTGGTCCCCAGGGGGCTGTAGCACATGTAGAGCTCAAAGGCACCTGTCACCTGGAGGGGAAGAGGGGCGAGGCGCACCAGGTAGTTGGTCACCCAGGCTGGGGATCCCTCAGAGCCCCTGCCCAGAAGCCCAATGGGTCCCCGCTTTGTGGAGGGCTGCCTTACCCAGGCCAGGAGGTTCTCATTAGGCCCCGTGTAGTAGATGGTCTTGAGGGGGCGCGAGGCATTGTGGGCACGGCTGTGCAAGTACTGGTAGAGGCCCAACAGCCGCTCCTGCTCTTCCTCACTCGTGTATGGAGCCTCAATTTCAGGGCTGCAGACAGGAAGGCGGTTTGCAAGGGGATGACGTCTATTGCCTTCCTGAGAACTCTAGAAACACCGATTTCCAGCGTCTTTGCTCACCCTGGCTTGAAGAAGTCAGTCTTGACACTTGGGTGTCAAAGACTGAGCGGGACAGCTCTGAAATGGAGGTAATGACATGGGCACTCTGGGCCAAAAGGGGATTATGGGAGGAGAAACTGCCACACCTGGCCCCACCCCTCTGTCAAGGGAAGGGTTGCAGGGGAGAGGCTCTGCGGCCTAGGCTGAGGCACCACCAGGCTTAAGGCAGCACAGCTCCAGGACAAGAAAGGCAGGAAGGAGACCCGTGTTTTAGCTTCCTTCCTGGGAAAACTGGGCCTTTCCGGGCCTTCTGGGTAAGGAAGTGGAGGTTCATGGCCCCGGGAGGATGGTGAGGGGAGTCTGGATCCCTGGGGCCAGAGCAAAATAGATCCGGCGTTCAGATCCATTTCCAGTGGGGCTGTCAGCTTCAAGCTGCCCCTCCACTCACCTCAGGGCTCGGACATGACCAGTCCCCCCCCCTCACCCCTCCCCTCCCCATGTTCCTGTGCCTCCCTCAACCAGTGCCCCCAAAGCCCTCCCTCACCTGGTGAACAGTCCTGAGCTCTTAGATTTGTAGAGGAAGTGGCGCAGGTCTGGGATGCCCACTTGGGCCACGCTGTAGTAAGGCGTTCGCAAGGCCTCGCGCAGGGCCAGGTGGGCTCCACGCTTGCGCAGACGCTCCTGGAAGCGGCGCCGGCAGTCCGAGACGGCAAAGAAGTCCTCCCGATCGGTGGAAACCAGCAGCAGGCAGAGGTCAGTATCGGGCTCCAAGTACGAGATGTGGACGTGGAAGAAGCCGGCGGCGTTGAATTTGGGCAGGCACACGGGCGTCCAGGCCTCGCCCTCGCGGAAGGACGAGGACGAACTGATGAGGTTGAAGAGCAGGTGCAGATCGATGGGGTGCAGGAACTGGTCCTTCCGGCGCACGAGCGCCACCAGCTGGTTGCGCGCCAGCAGGATGGAGAAGACGAGGCTGCGCGCCCGCGCCTGCTGCAGGCTGGCGCTCACCACGTCGCGCACGGCGGCGGCCAGGGGCAGGCAGCGCGCCGCGCCCATCAGGAAGCTGGGGTCGCGGGCCATGAGCTGTAACAGGTTGTCGGTGATCCGCTCCGAGCCCGAGAGCAGGCGGCGCAGGTCGTAGTTCTGCTTCTGCTGGAAGATGTGGCTCAGCTGCGCGCCCGTTAGAAGGCTCAGGATCTGGTAGTAGATGTAGAGCAGCTCCTGCGCCAACTCCTGCGCGGACTGCCGCGTGCGCGCCACCGCCACCAGCACCAGGGGGCTCCGGCGTACGAACACCACCTTGTAGCCGTCTGAGGGTGGGAGGGTGGGGGGATGGGGGTCAGCCTTAGACCCGATTGGTCCTGCTGCTGGGAACCTGCCTGCCTGCCTTTCAGGCCAGCAGCCTCCTCCTCCTCCAGCCTCAGAGCTCAGCCTACAGTAGGTGCTTAAGGAAGAGGAGGATAAGAACAGAGGCCCCCTCCACTGCCCCATTTCCCTGAAGGCTGGTGCCTGCCATCTGCCCCATATAGACTGGCCGAATCTGAAACGTGGAGGCAGGCGGGCACTTCCGAAAGATCACATTCCCAAGCTAAGACAACTAACTGGAAAGGGTTGGGCAGGGATCAGGACCTGTTTTTTTTTTTTGGGGGGGGAGGGTGTTATCCACCCCTAGGCTATTCTCACCCATTTCAAGGGCAAAGCCCATGGCACCTTTGACCCTCACAAGAGCTCTTTGAGGCAGGCAGTGTTCCTAGCTCCTGTACAGAGGCTCAGAGAGGCAAAGGGATTTTAACTTGGCCAGAGAGTACATCCCAGCCCTCTAGTGCATCACTGGTCCCCTCCCGGGGTGGCTCACCTGCATGGATGGAGCGTATGGCGTTCTTGTCCGCCTCCAGGAAGGACACCAGGGCCACCATGACGCCCATGGTGCTGGAGAGCGCCTCCTCCGACCCGTAGCGGGAGTACACGGGTTTCCCGGCCTCACTGAGCACGAAGACATGCTTCTGGTGCAGGCGCCAGGCTTCAGTGGCATCCTCCTCATCCCCCTCCGTCGTGCCCTCCCTTGAGGGCTCTGTGGCTGGTCGCCCGGTTGCCCCCGGGGGCTCTGACCAGTCCTCAGAGCTGCCCGGCAGCATCTCCTCCTGCAGGTCACGGGCCACACCCGTTAGCTGGGTGCTCAGCTCACTGAAGTCCTGGCTGATCTGGCGCATGTCTGCAGGCAGTGGTGGGGCACTTCCAGCACCTTCCTGGGGGCTTTCCCCGGACATCTCGCTGGCCTCAGACTCAGTCAAGTCCTCATAGGACCGGGCGTGGACGAACATGGCACCCTCTTGCCCCGCACCTGCAGCCAAAGCATGGGTGTTTAGAGGGGAAGCGGCCGGCAGACATCCTCACCAGCAAGGTGCTTTCAATAGCCACTCTAATTTGGCCCTGCTGGGACCAAGCTTCTGTGTCTTCCCGCCATAGGCTGCCATGGATCCTTCGGTGTAAGCCTGCCGATCTCCTCCCATCACACTGCAAGTAAGACCCACCCTCCCACCACCATGGTGGCAGCTGGGATCTGGTTGCTTCCCTCCCTCCCTCCCAGCTTGCAGTCCATCGGAAGCCTCTCCTAGTCACAGAGGCCTTCAACCATGTGCTCCTGGAGCTCCCTCCACATGCCCCAGCCTCGGGACCTCTGAGCTTTCTGGTCAAATGACCCTTTCGCAGGGGTCGCCTGATTCATCACCATAGCAAAATTAGTGATGAAGTAGCAACAAAAATAATTTTATGGTTGGGGGTCACCGTAACATAAGGCACTGTATTGAAGGGTTGCGACATCAGGAAGGTTGAGGACCACTGCCTTAGAGGCACTCTCACCTGCAAGCATGCACCTCCAGCTCTCAGCTCAGATGTTACTTCCCCATCTGTCCCTCTTCCCTCTGTGCTTTCTCTTGAGCACTCGGCAGTTCCTCTTCCCAGCCAGAGTGGGGCTCCCGTGAGGGCAGGAACCTGGCTGTGCACTGCTGTGTGCCCAGTGCTGTGTTCACTGAAGTACCCTCAGGCGTAAGGCCTCCCCACCCCAATTCAGGCCAAGCTTCTTAACCAACTCCATGGTCATAGCTCCCCCAGGGCAGGGACCATGGTTGTTGTCCTTTTCTGATATTTTTTGTGCAGGCGTGTTACAGAACAGTGAAACAGATCTATTCTGAGTCTCTATTATAAACAGTGGCCCTGTGGGCACGAGACCAGCAGTTCAAACTCACTGACTGCTTTGTGGGAGAAAGACGAGGCAGTCGGCTCCCAGAGGGAGTTACAGCCTCAGAAACCCTGCGTGGGGTTGCTACGGGTTGGGACTGAGTTGATGGCAGGCAGTATTACAAATTTGGCATTGGGGACTCAAGTGTCCTTAGTTCAGTAGGTTCACAGTCCTGTGGAGGAGAGAGGTGATATTTCAGCCAAGAGCGGGCCAGGGAAAGCCAGGGAGGTACATTACACTAGAGCCCAGTGGTTCTCAACCTTCCTAATGTCTCCATCCTTTAATACAGTTCCAAATGTCATGGTGACCCCCAACCATAAAATTATTTCTGTTGCTACTTCATAACTATAATTTTGCGACTGCAATGAATCAGGCGACCCCTGTGAAAGGGTCGTTCGACCCCCAAAGGGGTTGGAACCCACAGGTTGAGAAGCGTTGCTGTAGAGGCAGGGGACAGAAGCTCCGCCTGGGTTTCACAGGGTGAGCGGCCCAGCAGGAGGTGGAGAGGAAGGTGAGACACAGACTGCTCCACGCAGTAGCCCCAAGCACCAGGCAAACATCCAACGCTTAAGTGCACACATGTGTGAAGGAGTGGCGTGGGAGAGAAAGAGTGACAGGGAATTCTAGTTGGCCTGTGGCTGCTCAGCTGTCAGCTTCCAGCGCTGCACCCCTACCTACCTGGCTCCATCCCCTGGGCCAGTCCTGGCGTGGGGCTCTCGGCTCTCTCCACAGTGTGCCCATCAGAAGGCGCCAAAGTACCATCCGGGCATTCACTGCTTCTCTTCCTCTGCACCTCAGCAGCCATCCTCCTGCTCCTATATGGGGCAAAGGGAGGCATTATGGGGGTGAAGGAAGAAGGGGGTGCCGTTGCCAGAGTCACTGGCCTACTGAATACAGTGAAGTCTATCCCTTTCCACAGCTGCTGTGGAAAGGTCCTCCTTTCCTGCCAGGAAGCTAAGGTCGCATGGGGATGAAGCGCTCGCTCTCAGCCTGGCAGCCACCAACCCAGCGCTCACCCGCTCCATGGCCTCCACCTTTGAGATGAGGGCTCTCTACTTGGCCCACACCTGCTGGGGTGACAGCCTTGGAGAAAAAGATCAACGTCCTCATTAAAGTAGTTGTGGTAGAGGGTTAGCCTTTCCGGCTTGGCTTGTTTGCAGCCAACACCAACATCAGGAGCCTTATTTGCAATCTGGGGGCTGGTCGGATCCCCGATAGCCATTCTGCACAGGGGGAGGCCCCAGCCTCCACTGCTGCCCCAGCCAAAGAGAAGAAGGTGGATGCAAAAGGAGACTGTGAGCACTCCAGTGATGGGAGTAATGGCATGGGCCTTGTTCTCTGTGACAAAGCCCCCTTGGGAATATGTTCAGTATGGAAACACACGCCTGTGCGTGCGCACGGGCACACACACACACACACACACACACACACACACACACACACAGCAAAGTGTCCTTGGCCAGGCTCCAGCTTACTCAAACTTCTGGTGAGCAGGTTCCGAGTATTTTCCTCTAGAAAATTAGGTATATTGTTCTTTTTCTGACTATGAAAGGAAGATAAATCCATTGTAGAAAACTGAGAAAATGCAGACGTGTAACGAGTAAGTTACCAGATTCCCACCACTCAGTCTCCAGCTCAACTTCGGTATGTTTCCTTCCGGTCTTTTTAACGTGGGTATAACTCATAACTTGCTGATGCTTCCGGAGTGCCTAGGAGGCAAGCTAAGAATTATAGCTGGATCAAGTTGTCTAGTGCGGCCCGCTCCTCTCTGCCGAGGTTTATCAGAGGGAACAGCCTAAGAGAGCACACATGTAACGCCCAGGGTCCCCACAGGAAGGAAGCACTGGGCCTGGGCACTGAGAACAATTCTGCATCCTTGGATCTTTTACTGCGCATTACAGCATGACCATTTCCCCCTCCACACCCGGGTATCGAGAGTGCTCATGCTTTGGGGGGACAATTAGGAATCTGCAGAGAAGGGAACGATTCACAGTTAACAGGCTTGATTGACTTCAGGTGGAAGCCTCGCTTTTCTCCGGATACTCTTTTGTACCCTTTGACCTTGGGTCTTTCAGATGAAAAACAACTCCAGACAGGACAGTTCTCAGTGACCACTGGATGGCCACACCAGACTCACTGGTCCCAGGGTCCTTCCTCAGCCTCAGGGTCAGGTGGGGGCAGCCACAAGTGAGCAATAGGGGGAACTAAGCTGAAGGGCCCAGATGAGGCCAGCCTCGGGCAGGGCCCATGAGTGGCAGGCTGTGGGGTCTTAGGGAAGGGGTTCCATCGGAGGCTCCCCTTTAAAAGGGCAGCTGGTGTCTCCTGTCTCCTGAGAAGGATGCTACAGGGACTGTTGGGAGCGTGTACCTAGAGCAGACTCCACCCCTGCCCTCCCAGAGCACAGGGCCCTGGGAGAATACCTGGCCTTGTCCTTTATTGGTTCTGTGACCTTGCTCAAGTGGCTCCACCCTGACCTTGCTTTAAGAAACAGGAAGAAAAGAGCTCACACAGAGCCCCCTCATGACTGAAGCATGAGGCTACCTGGCCCCTGGCACCGTCAGCTGCCCTAGCTTATCTGTGCCCAAGACCCTGCTCTGGACCGCCCACAGCTCCTCTGTAGGTGCCCAAAGAACGGACTGCCAAGCTCCTTTTTGGGGGATGGGGGGCATTTTTGTTTTAAACCACCGAATTCTTTCTTTGGATGAATCTTTTGTAGAAGCTCCAGTGCCAGCAGAGAGACAGGAAGGAAGCTAGGTTGCAGAAGTTAGGGGACTGCTGGGCAGTGGTACTGCCCCATCCACACAAAGCAGGACCACCCATCTTTCGGGAGCCTAGGTGGTCCTGCTGAGTAAGCTTCGGACTGCTTAGGACAGTGGTCCTCAACCTTCCTCATGCCGCGATCCTTTCATACAGTTCCTCATGTTGTGGGGACCCCCAACCATAACATTATTTTCGTTGCTACCTCTTAACTGTCATTTTGCTACTGTTATGAATTGGCGACTCCCGTGAAAGGGTCGTTCAATCCTAAAAGGGGCTGTGACCCACAGGTTGATAACCGCTGGCTTATGGCAAGGTTGGCAGTTCAAACCTACCAGCCCCTCTGTGGGAGGGGACCCTAGATAGAGCACTGAGAGTTGGAATCAACTTGATGGCAGTGGATTTAGAATGTATCAACTTTGGGAGAATTTTTTTTTTTTGGGGGGGGGCGGTCCATAATGAAGAGTTAGGCTTCCTGGAAAGGGTCAGAGCCCAGAAAAATCAAAGTCTAAGACACCTTACCTGACAAACGGGCCAGATGAGCTGAGAAGCAACATGTCCTCCAAGATACTCTAGGAAGGGCTCCTTTGACGCTCAGGCCCGAGAGGCCATCGCAGACAGACCAGAGTGGCCCCTGCCATTCCACACGATTCGGGCAGTAGGTGGTAAGGGTAGTAGGGCATGCCTAGGTCTTGAGCCAGAAACCCCAGAGCACATGAGGGTGCCAAGTAGGACAGGACTTCACAGAGCTGTCCTGGACACCAAGGAGAGAGTGACCTCAGAGACAAGAGTCTGCCCTGACCAGGTAGAGGATATGCTGCTATGGATAGTCCCAGCATTACGGGCAGGGCTTCTGGACCTGGGTCCCTGGTCGTAGACCTGGATTGGCATGTGCCTTTCTATTTCCCCCTGGGGAAAGGATCCAGAACCACAATTGTAAAGGGAAATGCCCCCACATTCTGATATGAATGCCCTTCCCCCTTGTGGCAGTGATATCATCTCCTGTCAACTTGGAGCGAAGGGGTGGAGTCTAGCCTGTCAATCAGGCCATAGCCAATGAGGCCTCTGTGTGGGCGTGGCCTTCTGCTGAGGATTCTGGGGACTCCTGTCTTCCTCCCTGGGCGTGGGACACATGCTTTCTCTTGGCATTCACATTCCTGTTGACAAGCCACATGGAGACACACTGATGGCAGCCAGAGCCCTGGAGCTGGAGGAGCCATGTGGCGGCACGCCAGCATGGAGATGCTTCCACTGCCACTGGATCCACAAGATTTTCCACCCACTGGCCTGTGATCGTCCTACATTTTGCATCATTGCAGGTGCTGTGTGAGTCTGAAGAGGGATTTATGGACTGGTATCGGACATATGGGCTAACATCAGATTTATGGACTTGATCTGGACTGGGCTGGGATGTTTTCTTAACATACGATTACTCTTTGATATAAAGCTCTTTCTTACACATACATGAGCCTCCCTGGATTTGTTTCTCTAGTCAACCTGGCTACACACCCCTCCTCCAGCCAGCCACTTCCTGCCTTCTCTCCTCAAAACTTGTCAGACTCCGTGTTCACAGAGAGGCAACCTCACCTTTCATTTCACTGAGGAAGACGATGCAGCTTCCACAGATGCCCCCCCACCTCATCCCACCTGCTCCCCCCACCCCCCACGGGCCCACTCTTCTCCATAAGTGCCCCGGTTCCATGCCCCTCAGCTACCCAGTCCAAGGCTTCAGCAGCTGTCTCTCCCTCTGCGCGATCAGCATCCTCCCCTTCTCTCCATGCTGGCACCAAGATGTGGACATCTCTTCCATATCCCAAACACCCTCCCTGGGGCGTGTCCACGTGGTGACCATTCAATCAGTTGCACTTAGGGTTGGTGGACGTTTCTGTATTTCGGCATGATTTTGCTTAGGAGGTTACGACAAAACAAGCCTCCCCCTCACTCTACGTTACCCTCCACCTACCACCTCATGTTCCAGCCTCCCGTGTTAAAAGAAAGAACTAAACAATACTTAATAGGTGTATTAGTCAGGTTAGATGAGGCCAAATGTGCCGAAAATGGTGGATGTCTCACACTTCCGGCGTACTGTTTCACAGAGGCAAAGTCTGCCCTGTGTCTGGCAGCAATCTGGAGCCAGCAGCTCCCTCCCATGCATTAAGTACGGACTCCAGACCAGGAGCATCTTGGAGCTCTGCCACATGGAACACGTGCCTTTCCTGTCACCTGGCAAGGGAAGGCAGAGCTAGAGGGGCCTAGTGACCTGGGGGTTTAAATCTATTTTGTTGTATCCGCCCAGTTCCGGCATGTGCAATCCAGAGACCCTGATGACATCCAGATGGTGCAGTCACCCTTACCTTCCTTTGCCAAGTCATCCTTCTGTCATTAACACAGACTCGCTGCCCCTTAATGTCCCGATCTGATCTTTTGAGTTGCTGTTGTCAACTTCTTCCCACATAGTTTATAAAAGAGTATAAGGCTCAAGGTAAACTTTTTGTTTGTTTTAGTTAAGCAAAACCATTGTTTGGTTTGAAGAACTTCGGGGAATGTTTTGGGCTCAAGGTTTAAAGATGATCTCAGCGGAGCCGTTTCCTGGTTTCTACAGCCTCCATCGCTCCAGAAAGCCTGGAGTCTGTGAGAATTTGAAATTCTGCTCTGCATTTCCATCCCCATTTTTTATCAAGATTCTGCTGTAGAACTTTCGATCAAAATGGTCAGTAAGAGTGGCTGGTTTCCAACTTCTGGTTTCCAGCTCTTACCTACTGCAGCCTGGTTAAGCCAGAATTAGCCAGATAGCCAGGTGGGGCTGGAAAGTGTGGGGAGCTCAGGGATAGCTGGCAAACAGGAAGTGCCTCTGTCACATACAGCCTCCAGCTGCTCCCATCCCAGCTCAAGCCCACCACCATCGCTCCCACACTGTTCCCACCAAGGGTGCCAACGACCGCCCCTCCTCCCTCGAAGTAACACCTGTTTATTGTGCGGGTAATTAGGTGAGGCTGATTCATGGAGACTCTCTGCAAATCACCGGGTCCTATGCCATCCTTGTGGAGCCTGGTGTTAC